GTGGCCTATATTACATTCTACACGTACTTATGTGTTAGGGTCTAATACGTACAGTCATTAAATTGATTTTGGGTTCCTATATATCGAACATTGAAGACTTAAGATCATAAATTGAAAACAGAATTTAAAAGAAAGAATTACAAATAAATTAGCATGGCTTTAATGATACTACATATATGTAATTTTATTATTTTTATCGGTTGTTGCCAGCTGTCTGATTGGCTCAAACTAGATCACAAGATCAAGTATAAAAAGTTTTATAAACTGGGTGTTTCTATTTTCTACAAAAGCTTATAAACCTGCTGTTTCTAAAATTTGTGAAGTAAAAATAGTGCTGACGTCACAATAGTCTTTATAATTGTAGCTGCTATTCGTAACTGTGACGTCATAATGCGTAACTATGACATAATAATGCCTTATACGAGAAAGTTTTTAAACCATGGATTTTTAAGACATATCTCTTATTAACTGATACAATTGTGATAAGAAAAAATAATGAAACAAACATAGCCTTTTGATTCGGTACAATCCCTAAATATATACCGGTAGACCTTAGAGTGCTCGGTCGATATGCTTTCTCTAAGGTCTATATATCTAGGGATTGACCTCATCAAAAGGCTATATTTATGCCTTCATTCGAAGAAGGGGGGGGGTAGGAATGAAACGGTTCACCGCGGTATCGATTCACCGCGGTATTTTTTCTCGGTTTGATACACGGTGCAAAATCTCTAGTTTTCGGTTCGGTTCATTTTTCGGTCGGGATCGTTATTCAGCCGGGTTTGGCACAAGGTAAAACACGTTATTCAGTATAAATAAATATAGAAAACGTAAATTTTTGATGACTGATAGCTTGTAAAATAATTTTTGACAGTCAAATAATTTTAATCAATTTCTTCTAGTCAATTTGCAAATGAAATTCGTAAAATATGTGACTAGATTAAGAAAAAGAAAGCATAAAACAACGTTGAATTTGTTTCCTTCTATCAAAATGTATCGTATCGAAAATAACCGAACCGAAACAAAATTATACAATACGTACCGAACCGTGAAGGAGGTGTATCGTTTCACCCCTAGGGGGGGGGGCATGATATTGCTTTGCTGCTGTCTGTCAGTCGGTCGGTCGGTCTGTCTGTTTGTCTGCCGGTCCACCAACTGTTTCCGTTCATTTTTTTCGCAGAGGTTGCACATACTGAAATGAAATTTGTTATACAGATTTATCATAAGCATATCTAGGTCAAGATGAGTTTTCGGTACGATCGAGCAATTTTTGACAGAGTTATACCCCTTGGACTTAGGAAAATTCCAATTATTTGCAGTTTCCGTTCATTTTCTTCGCAGAGGTTGCACATACTGAAATTAAATTTGGTATACAGATTTATCATAAAAATATCTAGGTCAAGTTCTGTTTTGGGTACGATCGAGCAATTTTTGACAGAGTTATGCCCCTTGGACTTAGAAAAATTCCAATTATTGGGGGGGGGGGGGGTTGTAAGTGTTTCACAAACATCTCTTGTTGTATAATATTAAAAAAAAAACAATTTATGTTTGAATATTATAAAACTTGTAACTTTTTAAACATGTTTACAAAAAAATTAGACATTTAAAATTAATTCTGACTTTTAAGTTTGTTCTCAGTTTATGGCCCTTGGGCCTAATATCTATCATTTCTCTTTAATTAAGCAACAACTATATACATGTATTATTACAGTGTAGCGGCTTTCCAAATGTAAATCTACGTTTACTTCGGGGGGGGGACTAGGGTTTTCATTGCGCAATACTTCGAGCAGCACACATGTAGTAAAATCAAGCGTATTTACACTTTGAAAGCAAGTATTTTCTCATAATTTATTAAATTCAACAGAAGAAATCACAGGTTAAAATGTCTTATTATAAATTTTAAAAAACTGATTTTTTAACGATTTTTATCTGATAGAAGATGGACTTCGTAATAGTGTGTTTGTGGCGTTATAATACACTGAATTTCTAAAAGAGGGGATCATAAAAACGTTATTAAAAAAGTATAAGATATATGCTTTTGGAATGTTGAACACATAAATTTGAAAATTTCACAATTATTTTCTGTTATTTATTGTATAAATCATAATCATTGATATCTGTGTCGCCCGCGTGGCGCAGTGGTTAGAATGTCTGCTCTAAGAGTCGTAAAGTAAGGAGCTGATCCTTACGTCGCGGGTTTGAATCCACTGCGGGACGTGGAGACCGGTTCTTCGGATGAGACCGTATAAACTGAGGTCCCATGTTGCAGTAGGTGTTGGCACGAAGAAGATCCCTCACTGCTCAATGGCCCTCAGTGCCGAATATAGGTATAAATTTGCAGCCCTCCACCAGCAAGTGGTGGCGTCTCCAAATGAATGAAAAATTCTCGAGAGGGACTTTAAACAACATTCAAACAAACACATTAATATTTGTCATACTTTAGTACTCCATAGAAACGGTAATTTTTCGTAAATTTTTAATTTTGATATGCCCCCTCTGGAAACTAGACGATAGAAAATTGTGTTTCTTATATATTCTGTACAATATAGTATTACTCATCATATGTTATAATTTGAGCAAAAAGTCTATTATAGTATTTCTAAAATTTGCTTTGAAGTGCAAAAAACTAGCATTTTTCCCATATACATGTAATCCAATAGTAAATGTTCCTGTATTTTGAGACCTTCCCTCAAAATACCCTCAACTTGGCTTTAACTGAGGTCAATGTAAGTTGCATATGATATAAATTAAAGAGTTTTCTCACAATAAAACCTCAAACGGCTCCCTTAATAATATTCATAGTAATCAGTAAATATCCCTCTTGAATATTAAAGTCTGAAATATTGTATGGTATTGCATGATAATTTCAATCAAATATAATAGAACGAAGTAGATGTACATCAAAATGCATATTCCTTTATTGATTTTAAATTTCGATAGGCGACATGCCTTGGTTACGGAAATAAAATAATCTGATAATTTCTTTACTGAAACAAATTAATCTGATATTTCTTTTCTGAAATAAAACACAAGCGAGGATTATACTTTGCGTGTACAGTTTTGCTTTTTATTTCAAGTACGCTTAGTAGACAACTAAATTATATAATTCTGTATGTTAATCGAATTATTATACATATATAGTCGTCCTAGCCTGAGTCACTCCTGATTCTCAGGTGACCGTCAAGGAACATGGGCCTCTTTATTTTTATCTTACCCCGAACGAAGTCGGGGAAGGGGACATATTGTTAACATTACAACCAATTTTGTCTGCAAGAGTTCTGCAGATAGATTGGACAATCTTATTGAAACTTTAGTAGTATTAATCACTAAGCATAGTACATGCAACGTTCAAAATGGCCGCTGTTGTCAAGAAAAGGATGAAGATCGGTTCGGGGTGACATTGGCCTGTTTTCCTTTTTTTCTTTTTCTGTTCTTTTTTTTTATTTTGTTACCATATTTAAATTATCAGCCCATACTGCTTTACGGTAGCTTAATTGTTAATGCATATTAGAAGGAAGAATATGTATCAAATGCTTAAATAATAAACAAACCAAATACGCAAAATATAAGCACAAAAATCCTTAACAGAAAAATTAACTTAAAAATCATAACAACTCGTTGTAAACAAATCCAAGATTCTACCACCCTTAACGATAGCTTAATAATTGAGTCACCAAGAGACTGAGGGCCGATTTTCAGATTTCTTCCTTGTTTGTTCTAGCGTAATAAAAACTTGTCCAGTTTCGTAATAAATTGATTTTGACCTGGAATGCTGCTAAAACGCAGATAATGATAAAACAAATCCAGTTATGTTCTGCGGCCATTTCGTGCACCGGTTTTGAGGAATTGAACTGCTCCAGTGGGTAAAGATACACATACATCTACATGTGTATAATTATATAGATGGTGTCTTCAAGTACATGTAATTTATTTCTATTTTGATTGTATTCACACTATTTAAAATTAGGTGTTTCTAATCTACTACATGTACTTCTGTAATTAGATTGAATCGTATTAGATCAGGAAATTTAATTCAGGCGCAGATCCAGGATTTTTTTCCGAGGATGAGGGGGGGGGGTGTCACAACAACACTAACAGATGTCAGACTTGGAAATTATTTGACAAGCAAATGAAAAAAAAAACCAAAATACCCCCCCCCCCAAAAAAAAAACAAACAAAAAAAAAAACATAAAAAAAAGACAAGAAAAAAACTGTAAAAAAAACTTTTCAGACCCTTTTCGTGGGTGGATGTCATTTTTCCCTTACTTTTACCGGGGGGGGGGGGTTGACTAGCTTATATGGGGTACGACCCCCTTAGTCCCACGGCTCTGATATACCCCCCCCCCCCCCCCCCTCGGGCTAAAATAAAAAAGCCATTAGTATCATAGGCCTATTCGTGGCAATTAAAATTATAGAAAAGCACGAGTCGTAGTTTCCGATTACACTCTGAGCTACCCTTTTGCATTAAACACATTATCTTAGGAGAAAAAAACAAAACAAAAAACCCCTAAAAACAAAAATATGTGCCATGTCAGGTTTATGCAGTTTATGTGACGTCATCACAATATTTGAGTAAACTTCACGTGAATATTTACGGTTAAATATATATTGTGAAATGCGCAAATCACGTGTAGGGGCCATTTTTATAAAACAGGTAGTATCAGTCTAAAAAGTTCACAAGGAAGACAAACTTCACATCTCTGTTCAATTTATTTCTTGGAGAAATACCCTACATTAATATTGGACCTTTACTTTGAAACAACATTAGGTATGACACCCACGGGGAGCCCCCTATCTCGTGACCGGGGGAAAATAATCCGTTATTATTATTAATTTTTACTATTCGATAATTCATGAATTATTTCTCAAAATTCAGAAAATAATTTGTATGATTATGAAAATTTTGAAATGATTATTCATAAAATATTTGTATGACTGTTCAAAAAACTGAAATATTTCAGGGGAAGAGCATACACAGTTGTATTACTACGCGTAGTGAACGTCAGATTGTGGATCTGTGTACAGTGAGATTAGAACGAGAAATCAGTGAAAAACGGGCAAAATGGTGGAAGGTGGAATGAAATGCGTGAAAATTCTACTTTTTGTGTTTAATCTTATATTTGTGGTAAGTACAAGAAAATGATAGACGACTTTGTGAGGTTTGCTAAGGAAAGCTGGTTTTCTTTGCTTACGTGGACCATTTCGTTTATTAAGACCCTTGGCTTCCCGCAATTTAGATTTAAATGAATACTTCAAATATGAATTTTGAAATATTTTTTTTCAAATAGAGTGAACATTTGCAGAGACCGATTATATTAATTGCTGGGCGTAAACTGTGCTATATTAAAAGTTCTAGAGGGTTCTGTAAAATGCAACAGCAGATGATTTTTACAACATGTAGCCATGGATAGAGACAGTATAACAATAAAGCTTCTGTAATTTATCCGAAAATAGAAATACTTTAACAATGGTGTCATCATGTTATGACAATTGTCTGTACTTTATTGTGCACTATATAGCAGTGAAATGACAGTAGATGTAACAAATGAGCGTCATTAGTTCATCACTACAGGGATTTTAGAAACAAGCTATTCCTACAAGTAACAACAGTCTTTTGTGGGTAAAATAAGATATATTCTCATGTTTTAGTTGACTCAATGCTTTAAAAATGCATTAAATTATATGAAATACAATTATATTTCTGACAGATATGAAATAATATACATTATGTCTTAAAAATACTGTCATATTGCATGCGTAATAGAACAAATGTGACAGACAAAACCTGGGCCCCCAGAATCACCAGGCAGGTGCTCCTCCAATAGTCATCTGGCCAACAGCGATATAACCCACCAGACCGCAACATTCCTCCCTCATTAAAGGTCTTTGTCCCCAAAGACACAGGCTCTGGATTGTTTTTAATTGGGGCTGTCCATGCAAGGACCCCATTCCAAATTAAAAAAAAAAGTACCTTTTCTCCCAGTTGAATGTGTTAATTTTCAAATACTGTAGTAATTTCTCCCCAAAATGAAAGAAAATATAGTTGGATATAAAATAACTGGACTTGCTATTCACATTCCTCTGTATTGCAAAAAAAAAAAAATTTGATAACAAAGACTAGAAACCCAATATATTTATTTAATCAGAATTTTATTATGTAAAGTCAGTAAAGTCAGTTTACATAGCTGGATTGGACATCAGGCATGGCCTATATAAGTCCTTTAAAAAAAAAACCCAATATATCATGATTATTATAAATATAATGGTTATAATTCCAGAATATCCCAAAAGATTGCTATTTTCCCAATCTTAATGCATGCAGGCCCCAGCCCCATTCCCAAAAAGTGGTGTGAGAGCCCTGAGACACCAACCTAGGCTCTTCCATGGCAGGTCTTTCACCTGTTACTTCCAGTGCATGACATGGCACCAAATGTAAATGGATATAATTACTGACCAGACATGGGTTTGAATCCTTGTCTGGTCCATCACATTTTTTCTCCCCCAATGGTTACATTTGGTGCCGTGCCGTGGAAGTGACCTGTAGAAACTTGCCAACAAATAACCAGGGTTGGTGTCTTCAGGGACAAAGACTAATGCTGGTGGTCAGACAGGTTCAATATTGCTTTTGGCTAGATAGCTCAGATAGAAGAGCACCTGACTAGTGATTCAGGGGGCATGGGTTCAAATTCTGGTCTGGTCTGTTGCATTTTTCTCCATTGTCAGTTATGCATCTAAGGAAGATGATGCAGGTGACACAGGATCAGACACTGAATTGTAACGGTACACAACAGTACTTAGCTGTATAGGTATATAGTCTATATGGTATATTTATATCCTGTTGGCGTAAATACTTTCAAAATTGGAATCATTTAGTTAATTAACATATGAAAATTTTAAGCTTGTAGTAAATATGAGAAGTTTCTTTATTGTAGCTTTGCAACCCAGATTCTCCCAGTAATGATAAACAATATTAACAAATTAAGCTTCATTATTGTAGTTATGGCAATTGGTTTTACCTATTTCTTACTTGGAAAAAAAATTTACAAGACTTTGTATGAAATAAACTGAACCTCAGACTTTTAGGCTATAGGTTAAGGGTAATGTACATTTATACATATGTTGTGAATGACATGTTTTTTGTCATCTGATTATGATCAATATTTTTATCAGAAGAGCCATCCTTCCTTGTTTTAAATATATTGTTGTTTACTAAAACTTAATCAGCAAATGACCTGTCCTCAAAATCACAGGAAGTATGTTTGACACAAGCCCAATAAGTGATGTAATTACCTTTCAGCATTAGTGTATTGTAATAATAATTGAAGTATTGATTTTTGACAAGCAGCACCAACTTTGTTGTCGTTACCAATTCTCTTACTAAAATGAAGTTTTATTGCTGCGCAGAAAAACTAAAAGAATCAGCCGCATTAACAGGTTCTAGACTGACAAATATCGATTCATTGCCAACCAAGTTATAGACAATACATTCATCTATTGTATAATCAACTGTTTTTTTTTATTGTAAAGTAAATGTATGTGTTTACCAATGTACAGTGTAAGCAGTGACACTATATTATTTAAAAAAAAATTGTTTTCCTGTGTCAGCAAGTTGGTAATTCTTGGGTTTGACCTAGATCTTTTGCATTAACAAATGTAATATTTTCTTAACCTTGTGAATGAATGAGGTTTTTGTAAAGTAACATTGGATTGAGTATCTAAAATCTGTACCTTTAATTAATTAATTAATAAGCTATATGTTGCACCCATGGAAAGGGAAGTTCATTAAATTTAATAGTTGTTTTAAAAAACTTGTGAATGCTGGCCAAAAATAGATAGGTAAATGTACAATTTGAAGTATTTTCCATCTTAATTACATGTATATAATTTAACCCGAAGTTCAGTGTATGTAATATTAACTTCCTCATTTCAATTACGGAACAAAAGTGAATTACACAGGACATGATTTTATACGCAGGACATGAATTGAAAGGCGCATTCTTTACTAAACTGTGACATAGTCATAGATCTTGTGATACTCAACATGTCTTGTGACAAACCGCAATTTCTAAAATTAAACTCTGCAAATCCTTTTTTTTTTTTTTTAACACCAGATCACACAAGAGCTCAGGGCTAGAAATACCAGGGTTACCTTGTGGTCATGTGAACATATACATGACAGATTTCATGAACTGTAGTATAAAGCTGAATAAAACTTGAATGGTGTTGCCATGTATTTCCATATTTCTTATCATGATATTTTTTTTTCAATGTGTTTCCTTTTGAAATTATAAAAATTTCTGATAGCCAGATAAAATATTTTCTCATTCATTATTGGAGAAAACATTTCCAGTCAGATGACGTACAGTAATCTATTTTTTAATAGCTATATGACTTTTTTTGAAAAATTGTTCTCTCTTTAATATGTAAGAAAGAAATTGAAATATGTTCCCAATTAAGTTGCCGTAATTTTACACATGCAATTAAAAAAAATTATTTCAGATTAATTAAAGGTATACCATTGGATCTCTTTCTCTTTTTGAGATAAGAGAAATAAAAATTTTGAAGAAAAAAAAAGAAGAGGGAGAGGGAGCTATGGCCTGAATCTTGTGTAATATATTGTGTACAATCATTTTCATACTAAAGATGAAAGAGGTGATGAATCTTGAAATTCTTCACCTTCAATGTCTAAGTGACATTACCTGAAAAAAGTCTGTCATACATTGCCATGTTGATACAATTTGAAAACTGTATTGCAGATTGCTGGTGCAGGTCTAATTGGGGCCGGAGCTACAGTCCAATTCAAGTTCAAAGATTATTTCATTCTACTTGGAGGCCAGTTTAGTTCAGCGGCAGCACTACTGATAGCTGTAGGAGTCATCATCTTCTTCATCGCTCTTTTCGGATGTATCGGAGCATGGAAAGAGAACTACTGTTGTGTGATGATCGTAAGTACTAGAAAAAAGGGGAATTTCTACAGTTAGTACCAAAATGTTAGTGAGAGATGAGAAAAATGACTGAACACAGTTTCAATGTTTATTACTGCAATTACTTGTGAAAATTTAGCTTATGGGCAAAAAAAAAAACGTTCAAGCTGAGTTAGCTTGTGGTGACATAAGTTGAATTCAAACTCTGGAATGGTCTGATCAGTGTAATACTGTAGAATATGATTCTAAGGTAGGAGTAAATACAAGTCCTCTTTGTCCTATAAGATGCTAGCTGACATAAGCTTAGAGATTGTTCACTATAGTGAAGAGGGATGCTGGTTTGTCTCCTTTCTTCAGGTTGAAATTCTGTCTTAATGATCACAAGAAAAAATTATTTTAATGATAATGTGAGAATTTTAGTGCTAAAAATAGTGATAGTAGTAGAGATATAATGGAATTCTGCAGATCTAAACATCGTTATTCTTCAAAGTATTAAATGAAAGACCGAAGGCAGCTGAGCTTTTAGGAAAGAGCTCATTCCCTGTAGCTATGACCTAAATGTATATTGGATGGGTATAGTATTGTGTGCAAATGAAAAGAGGCCATTCTTTTGCCAGCTTAAATGGATTAATAGTAAGATGTAAGATGTGTTTGGCAACAAGTACCTTCGTTGTTGTGCAACTTGAAAAAGATGAGTGTGTAAGGTCTTTGATGGGCTGCAGCTGTTAGAAACTTCACAAGAACTGAAAAATTTTCTGGCAGAGTATACACTGCTGGTATAGACTGTTCATCATTACCATTTAAATTAAAGTCAACATGCATGCAGTGTCAGTGTTGGAAATTAATTAGAGGAAAAGAGGGTTCTTAAAACTTCAACATTGCTGTGGAGAAAGATGTTTAAAAAAGTTTGACTAGCTGTGACCCCCTGTCTAGTCCTAGGAATTAGTATTGCTCAGAAATTTTTGGAGTTCACATGATTACATTCTAGATATTTTTCAATTTTTTTTTTTACATGTATGTAAAATTCATCCATCATTTATAGTTCATTTCATCTGTTTATTAGGAATACACATATACTTGTAAAGAAGATTTAGTACATAGATTTTTGGAGGATGATATGTACAGTTGTAGAGAAGTATTCTCAGGATAATGTTCATTATAATTTTCTATTTATAGATTGAACACCAAGTTCTTGCTTTATTTGACTTACTTTGCTTAGTTTTTCTGTCCAATCTGTTACAATAAAATTGACACTACAGAAACTTAGGCAGATAACAGCAACAGACATTTCAGCAATACCATTGCTATGCCTTCTCATGTGTGATTTGTGCATTATTGGGTTAAATCTGTCGAATAATGATAGAGAGGGAAATGTCCTTTTTTTACATAAAACATACAATTATCTCAAAATTAGAAAGTCCAGCCAGCTAGGGCTTGTAGATCAATAAGTGTATGAGTCAGCCAAGGAAGCTACAGCTAAATGAGCAATGTAGAAATTGCCCATAGAATCCATATTCAGATTAAGGCATTGATAATTATGTTGATGAAATCAGGGTCAGTGTAGGCATTTATAATTATTAATAAAGGTGGATATTGTTCTGGATTACTGTTACATGTAAATGCTGCAATGGCAGAGTGGAGAAAATATGCATTTTGTTAGATTAGATGTCTGAGATAGTATGTGTAGGTGGCTGGCTTTCTAGAACAAGATTGATGACCAGAATTGAAATTTGCTCTCAAGCCAGTAAACTATTAACAAACTTTGATGGCAAGATTAATGAACATTTGCACTTGTCGATCCTGTCAACAATCAGTTGATGGATTTTATGGTTAAAAAAAATTGAATGATGCATTGAATGACAGTCATTGATTTTGCAAGTGTAGAATTTTGCTGGATGAATCCTGTTTATCAGTGTGCACAAGTCTTGTTTAAACATGGTTAATACAAAATTGGAATCCTGCTGGAAAGCTTGTAAGGGCATAGTTTCAGTGTATCACATAGAAATTTTCTGTTTTGATAGTAGTATTTCATTGTCATTGGTTAGGAAGCATTCACCCCATCTTTGAGAAAATTGATTGTTTTTTCATGGTTGATACCAGATAGAGTGTCAGCTGGTAGTGGGGGACACTAAGGGGAAAATGACCAAAAAAAACCCTTGTTATTAAAAGGATGAACAGGCATTATGCACTTAGTCAGTTTTTCTCTATCAATTAAAGAACAGGCTGAAAAAACAGGGAAGGAAGAAAATTAAAAAAAAAAAGGAGTGGAATTTTTATATGTATAATGATATAAATCCCAAATTCAGTTTGTAGGCGTGATTTAAACAGGCAATCACGTAAGCTCCACTGATAAGCAGGATTTTGTCCATTGGAAAATTGTAAAGGGGAACTTAAATATCCACCATTGTAATGATGCTTATTAACATTACTTTGCTTCAACATTTTGGGATCAGTTCTGGTTGTCATTCATTGAATACCATTGTGATTCATAAGGAGTTTACCTTGCTTTTCAATAATTGTTTGTTGTTACGTATGATATGTATACATGATGTGTACACAACATTGTATTTGTTCTTTTAATTAGAATTTGTCACCTGTTGTTGCAGGTATGTAATAGTTGCTAAAAGACATGCCTTTGTCTAACATTGCTAAATATATTCATATCATTATTCTAATAATCCAGGATGATTAAGCAGTCATAAGGAATTGCAATAAATCAGAACTTATCACTAACATACTTTACAGTACAATTGGGAATGATATATTAAGCCAGGGTTGAATACTTGTATCGGGTATAATTGCTATATAATAGCAGATAGTGATGTACTGATAATCAGAAAAATTTGATTGTTGACGAAAAAATGCTACCGATTCTGATGATCGATTATGATTTTTCATGATTTTTCATAATTGATCATCGTTAACATACTTCTAATACAATACATTCCGGAATTATCCATTTCTGGTTTAAAATTTATTTCTTCTTAATGAAATAAAATGGCGTCTGCAACTGATACTAGCCAACTAGCATGAAGCAGAGGTGATTAAGAACCGAAAGGTGCATATATAGAAAGTGTAAAAGAAGGAAAACAACAAAGACAATAATGTATTATATATTTTATATATTCATGTTAAAGAAATAATATGAAATAATTGTAATAGTCTGCTTTTTATATACAAAATGATGACATCTGATTATAATCAGTAAAATTGCATCGGAAGCAGTAACCGATTCCAACCGATGATTGATTATGAAAATTAACCGATGTTCCATCACTAATAGCAGAGTCCTTGAAAACTTTCACCACCAAGCAGTACAATACACCCTTCTTAAAGGAAATGTTGGAGGACTCACACATTTCCTGCAGCCCCCCCCCCCCCCCCCCCCCCAAAAAAAAATAGATAAAGCTATTGATGAACTACCTGGAGACATCAAATAAATTGTTCAATGACATTTTAACTTTTTGTGTTATTATTATTTCCTTTAATTGCCATTGCTCCTGAAAGGAGTGCTCGGGCCTCCTTTCGTTCTCAATAAACTTGCCTCTTCCCTCAAACTTGTCAACTCTTTGATCACTTTTCATCAGGTGTGTCACTTTATATCAGGTGTGAACCATTTTCAAGCTAGTTCCATATTTAATGACATGTGCAAAATTGAATTGTGTTATAATATTATAGAAAGTAAAAACAGAACTGAATATATTATGTAGGAATCACAATTCCCGAGATATATTGAAGACATTTATAATTTTTCTTGTCAGACTTATAATTTTTCTTGTCAGACTAACAGTGATAAGATTTTTTGTGGACTAGCTTACAAAAAAAAAAAAAGTGAGAAGACCGAACGAAGATCTGATGGTTTTCAAGAACTCTACTGTAGTGTTTACAAGCACCAAACTTCCAAAGAGGAGTAAACACTTTATAAATATGGGCTAGTCCAAGTCTTAAATTCTCTCTTGTTTACAGTATATGTATTATAATTGTCTTGCTTAGGACTTGGTTTTTCATTTCTGTTTGCAGTATGGTGGAGTAATTTGAAAACTTTAGTCTAAGTTTGTTAAACTAAATTATCATTTCATTGTACATTATGCTGTATGTGTAATTGACATACATAGTACATGTAGTAAAGCCTTCCTTTCTTTTTACAGTATGCTGTCCTGTTGGTCATCATATTTATCCTAGAGATTTCAGCAGGAATAGCAGGCTATGTGTATCATGGAGAGGTAAATTGAGTCATATCTTGTAAGAAACTACTCAATCTAGATTTATATAAATCTTGTTATTATAATGAAGTTGCAAAATTTATGCCTAGTTGTTCTTGTACAATTCCTGGTACACATATTTAAAAAAAAAAAATCTTTTATATGGTTATTCACAGTTGTAGTAATAGATGTTTTTTGGTTCACCAAAACATATCTACTGATACTGTAAATGTGGAAATGATCGGATGGGGGAAATTTTTGATTGATAAAGTTTCGCAAAATTTAAAACCATGTAAACGGCTTCATTTAAGGCATGATACTAAACACTAAGGCCAAAAAAATTAATAGTTTCTCAGGCACCGCCACATCAGGTCAAAAACTCAGGCACCACCGCATCAGGTCAAAAACTGCCGCATTGATCAATTTTATGGACATTATTAAAAAAGGGAAATAACCCAATTTTCTATTTTTCCAAGTTAGAAAAGAAAATTGAGTTATTCCGCTTTTCATAAACGTTAATATTTGATAGGCAATATACAGTCAAATCTTGTTATCTCAAACCCAATGAGACCGAGAAAAAACTTCGAGATATCCAAGGATTCGAGATATCCGGGGTAAAATTCTTGAAGAATAAGGGATTTGGACTTTCAAATTACCTCGACATATCCATGGTATTCCAGATATCAGTTTTGGAGACATGGAAGTTCAACTGTATTTCTTGTTAATACTGTAGTTTATAAATTAACTTTTTGAAAAATGTTTGGAATAACATTAAAGTTGAATACATATTATAATTTATGTAAGAGACCCAAAAAAAAAAAAAAAAAAATCAGTTGATACATGTATCATCATTTTGTTGACATAAAAAAAAGGTATAACACCTGCTTCAAAAAAAAAAAAACCCTGCCTGCTGCATTGAATTTTGAAATTTTTGACCAGAGAAACTATTAATTATTATTGGCCTAAAGTAGCAAATTTTGTAAATCCCTTAAATTTTGCAAAAAATAAGCCCGATGCAAAAGCTTTGTACTGTGGAAATCACTAAATTTCACCCCATAAAAATACCCACATATACAGTGTGTGCCTCATTTAAAAAAAATCAACTTTGTCTGCATGTGATTCAGGTTGAGACACAGGTTAAGAAGTTAATGGGAGACACTCAGCAGAAGTACCAGCCTGGTAAAGATGAAGCCAAGGTCTGGGACACTGTCCAAACCGAGGTAAATCAAATTTTTTACACAATTTGGTGGTGTATACATGTATAAGTAGTAAATGTGTGCAAGTTTTTACAGAAGTACAACAAAACTCAGTTATAACGAAGTCACAGGGAGTCCAAATTTTGCTCTGATAACCAATATTCTTTTTATCCATACAAGGCACATAGTGCACAGTCTCCTACTGGGTTCATTGTTTCCCTTCACATGAGATTTATAGATTTAGTTTTTGTTAGCAAGTAAAATGGCATTAGACACAATACTGTATGGGTGAAGCTTTTTTTCATAATTATTTTAAAATTTTTTAGTTTAAATGCTGTGGTGTCACCAACTATACAGAGTGGGAAGCATTGTTGAATAATACAGTTCCAAAGTCTTGCTGTAAAAAATCTGCAAATACCTGTACAGGCAGTGAAGCTGATATTCCAACCAACATCTACACAGAGGTATTTATAAGTCCAGACTTCATGTTATTGTTCCGATGATGGTTAACAAGTTAATTTTGCTCACAGCTTAAATCTCTATAAAATAAGAAAACAAAAATAAAGGAAGTATCTTGTGACACAGGCCTGTTTACTCCTACGGTTTTGCCATATTTTGTACGAATTTTGAGTCCAAAATACGTCTCATGTTTTGCCATTATGATCAGAAATCCATTCATTTGGCTTTTAGCAGTTAGTTTTCATTATGATCTGTCTCAGTTTGATGCTTTTTAATCGCGTTAAAAAAAGATATAGATTTCTAACACTTAAGTGATGTCAGGTTGCTAAAACGTGGTGGTTTAAAAAATGACAGAAATGGTAATCAGAAATGTAGTTGTTCTCTAGTAATATATATGTCACCAGGTTCACAGGTGCGTGAAAGTCGGTCAATATATCGGGTCTCAATAGCTCAATGGTTAGGGCGCTGGCACGGTACGCCAGAGTCCCTGGGTTTGAGTCCTGACTTGATTTTTCACCACCTGTGACATTTGGCGCCCAAAGTGGGGCCACAAATGTCACAGGTGGTGAAAAATCCAGTCTCAACCGGGACTCAAACCCAGGGCCTCTGGCGTACCGTGCCAGCGCTCTAACCACTGAGCTATTGAGACCCGATATATTGACTGACTTTCACACACCTGTGAACCCGTTGACATATGTAAAATCAATGGAAAGTGAAATCTTACTGGGAAATGCCAAATCTCACTGACAAATCTAATAAAAAATACTGAGAGACAACAATATAGGTCTGGTGTCATCATCATTTCTCTTTTTATCAAATGGATCAGTATAGTTTTTTTAAATCTCTATCAATGGGCAAGAAAGCTAACTTTCTCTTTCATTTAAAAGTACAATACATGTAGTTGGCCATAATTTAGTTACCAATATGGAGAACACTTTTAAATCTTGGACTAGCCTGTTGCAACGTTAAACTTAAATAGCATGCAAACAACAATACACACATAAATTACTAGTATTTGGTTATATATCCTTTTGCTTCGATTACGGCTCTAATTTGTTTTGGAATACTTTGACAGGAAGACAAGTGATGCCCCGATTTCAGTCACTACTATATCAAGATCTGCCTTGTTGTTTATTTCATTAATATGGCATTTGATGCAGATTTTCAGAACTCTCCATACATTTTCTATTGTGTTCATATTTGGACTTTGTGCAGGCCAAGGTAAAATAGGAATACTGTTGTCTGCTTTCCAGGGATAACATTGTCTTGATAGGAACATTTTCTGTCATTATTTGCTGGGAATATTATCTTCTTGAAATTTCAAAAGGTGGTTTCCAAAGGTTTTTTTGTTATGACTAGCCACAAATATCTTTCTAAAGTTTCAATGTAGATATTGAAATTCATGTTTCCATTAACAAGTGTAATTGTTTTGACACCATTATATATGATACAGCCCCAGAACATAGCCGAGATTGTACCTTGCTTCTCTCTGTCCAATGCATTCTTGGGAACTAAGTTGTGGCCAACTACATGTACTGTACATTGCTTCTGTTAAAAAAAAAACACTTTTTGTTACAAATCATATTTTCAAGTAAATGTCTTGCATTTTTAAGGGATGTCTAAGCAAGTTTGAGACCTTTGTAAAGGACAATATTTTCATTGTTGGAGGAGTTGGAATCGGTCTAGCATTTGTTCAGGTGAGTATGGTTTCTTGTGTATGAGCCCAGTTAATGAAAAGAGAGGAATTTAGATAATGAAGAGGGAAAAGATTATTTCACATTAAAAATATTAACTGTATGTGTGTATTCCATCATAATTGAAAACCTGTGACTGTGTTGTTTTGTAGATTGTGGGAATCCTGTTTGCTTTCTGTCTTGCTCGTGCTTTGAAGAAGGAGTATGAAGTAGTGTAATTGGACAATGAATCACCAAAGAGGATGACACTCCAACAGGAAATGAACAACTGTGGGGGGAAAATTCAGAGGAGGGAAAAATTTAACATTTGATGGATTATTTTTTCAGGTCACATGTTGCAAAATTTAAAAAAATACCTGTGCTTTTTGGCCACCATTTTATAGTTGATATTTGTCTGTTGAAATGTAGAGAAGGTAATTTAAGCTTTGAGTGATGCATATTCTCTCACTGTTGTTTAGTATGATTTTGCAATCATGCTTTATCCTTTAGACAAGTATTAATCCTTTTTATTTTTTGCCTATGTAGATGTCCTTTGCAGTATTGTAGTCTGGGATTTGGTCTTTTCTTCACAATAATGTGTAGACAGAAATATTAAGTAAAACTGAAGCGTCAGTTTGTACGTTATGTATTTATTGTGTATGGTTTCTCCAGGAAGGGAGACATTATGTGGGGTTTTACACAAATATATTTACTGTCATTTCCATTTTTAACATTTTCATGTCTGCAGTCACAGTGTAACTGTATTAGTTTGATGTAACAAAAGACTGAATGTTTGAGTAACAGTCAGGTGGGTTTTAAACAGTGGAGAAGAGATTGTTTTGAACCAATCATATGATGAAAACTAATTCAGATGATTCCCTCTCTTCTTTGCTTTTAAAAGCATTTCTATTATAGATTGATACTTAAAATTTTGTTATCTACTCAAAAAAATTTTTTTTAAGGAAGTTATTATATCATTTTCTAAATTGTTTATCGCAATATTAATGTTGTGAGTACTTGTTGTGGTGTTACCACATTTATTTTTAAGCTTGAAAGTACACATAACCTTTTGATATAGGGAATTTTTTTTCTATATTGTAAAGAGACATTTTGATGAAAAAAATGTATTTTTGTATGAAACGGAAAAATCATTCTGTTGTGGCCTATGAATCATTATAGCAAAAATAATTGATGAAATGATAGCTTTATTTCTCACTACAGAGTTTTAGTGCTATATTATAAAAAAGGTGCCTTCCATTTTTCGATGAACTGAATGAAAAGTGCTGCTGGGCAGGTGAAGGCTATTAATACTGATCTGTTTATTTTTGCAAATTAAGAAGGAAATTATTTTGGTGTATCCAAGGTATGGGTGGGACTTCTATCACAAATTAAATCATCATCTTGTACGCAACATATTGATATTTTTCCATTTTCTGATGTTAACTGTAGTTATATTAAAGATGTTATCTAATAAAGCATTTTTCTCTTGATTGTATGTCTTATTTTTGCATAAATTATGGAGAGAATATATGCTTTTATTCTATGATTGATTATTTCCTAGTTCTCCGATTGGCTGAGATCCAACATAAAGAAAAAGTACTATATGCTTTGTAACCTGTATGTGACCTTCCAAGTGAACATGATTTATTTTTTTCTAAATTGGACTAAAAATAGATTGAGAACTATTGGTTCTGAAAAGTAACTTTCCCTCCAACAGACTTCCACTGAGGTGAACATATACAAGTGTAACATTCAGATACATCAAATGGGGGTGTATGTGTGCAGAGGGCCTGAACCAACCCCCCTTTTCTCTGAACAAAATTTTTTGTTCGACTGGTTAGAGACAAGAAGTGCTTAAGCAATAGTAAGGTGTCCATCTGTCTGTTGGAGAACAATTTTCAAAATGTTACTCCTACAATTTTGGTCTGATTTCAGTGTAACTAACCACACAAATAGACATCACTGGGATACACAAGTGAAATTGATGCAAAGCATCAAATCGGCCACAAAATTTAGCATTCCAAAAAAAAAGTACTTTCACAATTTTAAAAGCATCCATGCAAGGAAAGCACAAGATATTCAAAGCTGAAAGAGTGATCATTTTTATTTCAGACTGTCTTCAAAGAAACTAAATAATTTAAAAAAATAAAATAAATAGAAATTTTAGTGCACTTGCTCATCAAATTGATTCATCGATGTAATAAAGTAAATGATAAATGATAAGAATTTATTGTCATCAAAATTTAGAGGCCTATTTATATTCAGATTTCAGATGATCCATGTGCTGATACCCTGGATCTTTGTTACGTGATCACGCCCATGATTTCTGCAGAGTAGGCTATGCTGCACAGCGCGGTGCAAAATGTAGAAAAAAATTATCCTTGTGTCATTCGCAGCTGTAGCATATTCAGAACAGTTTTTACTCGTTCAACAACTTTTCAATTTTTATTCACCATGCACTTTTACAACTTCATTATTATTCGGAAAATCATAACGATTTGCTTTCACATCTTACACACTCCCAGGTTGGGGAGTACCTATTGTAAACTCTCTTTTATATAATCATAAATTATCAAATATCTGATGAGAAATGATAATGAAATTGAAACATAATAACAACAATTAAGTCTTAGTTTAAAGCAAGTTTTTAAAATATTTTACTTATGAATTGATACATGTTATCATTTAAGAATTATTTTACTGAACTAATAAAGAAATAACAACTCACTTCCCCTTGTGCACTTTCTAACACAACCACAAATAGATCAGCCGCTGCTGCGGCCGATAATAACTCTACATTGGTTTTTGACGGTGTTTCCATGGTTACTAAAAATAGAAATTTCTGTGAAATACTTTCAAAACACTACTCCTCCTACAGTTTTGGTCTGATTGAATATAACTTGGCACAAAAGTAGACTTCAATAAGGTTCATAATTCTACATGTATGTATTGGTTTTTGATTTTGATGGATGGTCTTGCCATGGTTACTAAAAATATTCCTGTGATTTTGAAAGGCTATTTGTAGCATTATTAGGTTTTTAATCTCAAAATCGATGCTACATACCCGAAATTTATTTTTTTCTATATCTCGCAAAACATAGACTGAGAAATTCCATATTAATACAACTGGTTATGTTTAATTTAACCCATTATTTTAACCCCGCTTCTCTTACTGGGTTTAGCTAGGACTTCAGGAAATGTATTTAAGAAAGATGGCATGGTTTGTTTAAGGAATTTGTTTCACTAGAATCATTGAATAATATTATAAAACAATTATTGCTGTTTTTCAGTCAATATGATGATTTAGCCACCCACAAAGTACTAAGTATTATAAACCAGTCAGAATTTCAAATTTACTACCATGATCAAGGGGCACAACTCTGTAGATTTTTAATAAAGCTTTAAATGGATATTCTCAATGACCAGATATTCCATTAAGATACCTAGCACTATTTAAACTTTAAATAGTTTTCCTGCATTGTAGTTTCAATGGAGACGAGGCAGTACACATACCAGTTTTAGGACTAAATCTATTGACTTGTTACATATCAGTTTATTTTTAACAAAAATTTCATTAGTTACAATTATTAATTTTGCTTGAAACTGCTCCAACTGGTTTAATTGTTCACCACATCAGGAGTCGATGTACGTATATCTTCTCTGAATCTTCTTCAACCAATTACATGTACTTGAAGAACTGAAATAGCTAACATTTTTCCATCTGCTAATATGGAATAAAAAAATGACCTGTCTGCATTCCAGAAAAAAACCTAACTAAAAAAGGTTAACTACATTGTCAGATGGTTCATAAAATTTAATTCAAAATATTTGGTCATAACAAAACAATAAAAAAATATTGGAATGTTTATACTCTTAAATAAATTACAATATTCTGATAGATAGATTAAATGCAAGGTTAAAACTACCTGTTCATTTTCTAAATAACACATGCTTTCTGAAACAATTTGGTCAATGAGCTCAGTATTCAGATAATCATAAATACACTGTCTTTGAAATGGGTAGTACTTTTCTGTCTTTGCTTGGTGCATGTATAATGTACATGCCAATTAAAAGATGCCATTCATATCACAGTCTTTTTTTTGTAGAAAGTTTATTATAACTCAATTAATGGCAGTTTAATAGTCACAATTTGTTCATTCTGACAGATTTTAAGAATATCTTGCTTTCTCATTGGCTAAAGCAAGTCTTCTGATGTTTCCAATACAACCCGCTGATGCCTCTTGGAGATCTTCATCTTGGGAACCCACCATTTTCATGAGAGGCTAAAAAAAAGAATGGTTTAATAAGTTTAACATTTTCTATATTAAAATGATATTCAGAAACATTTTCTATAAATGATATTCAAAACATTTTGAAAATTGAACCCATTCTCAATTCAACTGATTGGAATACTATGCAGTTCTTAAGCATCATGCAATTAAAAAACCAAATTCTCCTATTTTGAAACAGTTCAAATTACAAAGAAATATGAATTGTTCTATTAAAAAAAACCACTAATACAACAGAAACAATAAATACCTGAACAACACCAGCTTCATGCATGGTGATGCAGTTTTCGGGGTTCTTTGAAAGTTGGTACAATGCTCGGGCAGTTGATCTATGTACGTTCTCATCTTGTGAGCGAAGATATTTAACCAGCGGAGCTACGGCACCTTCTCGCCCAAAGGCAGTTCTGTTGTTCCCCCAATTACAACACCTAGCTATAGCCTCGGCTAAATGTCTCCTCAGTTTATCGTCCACCTTTAAAAATTATACACAAAATATTTGAATGTTCAACTGAATTCTACCTCACAAGGAATTTCTTTTTTTTAAATAAATATTTTAATTGCATTTAAAAAGGATAACACGTCACATATTTCCCAAAAATTTATACTTATTATAATAGCTTCCTAAAATTCTAATAAAATTATTTCTTAGGAGGTGTTCATAATTAGTAAAGGCTATTTACATTTAGCTACATGTATTTATTGTTCAGAATTAAGGTGCTTGCTCTTCTAGAGCTCCAACTGTTTATAATAGGTATACATGTATAAAGAGTATACAGATTGAGCTAATAAATTTTGTATAAAAGTATAAATAAAACAAAGAATGATATGTTATGGCTTACTAGTGTATAGTCACACTTAAAACATGTGATTTTTAAATTCAGAAATATATCTACAATGAACACACCAGCAGAAAAACTAAAGTCGATTTATGCAGAATGCTGATCATGATTTCGATGACTCACATTTTAATTGAAAAATTGGGAGGGTTTGTATGAAGAATGTAGCGAAATTGCATGATTCAGGAAAAGAAGTGTTTTTATCTTTCTTTTTTTTTTGATATGATGACAATGCAAAAATTCAAAATACAAGTACTATACAAATGTTTATAAAACAGCGAGACTCAAAATCACTGTCAAAATGCAGTTCAAAGAACAAAATTGCATGCTGTTACACATTGATCAACAAGTTCATTCAACAAATAAAATCCAATGCAGTTATAAGAAAAACCCACACAGTATCAAAGGTGTGGTAATGTTAGAATTTCTACATAGGAGAGCTGATGTTTGTTTATCACTTGATGACTAGACATTACCTTACTCTGAAATTTACTACCCTTCCAGGCATACTGAAAAAACACTAAATGTGTTACCCTCTCAGCAGAGAAAATTTTTACTACGATTGTCACATATTTAACACAAGAGGCCCATGGGCCACATTGCTCACCTGAGCACATTGGCTAGGAAAAAGCACAAATCACTTAAGTATTGAAAAGTTTAAAGGGGGGGGGGGGGGGGGGCTTGGATTTTGAACTACCTGAGGATGCTTCCAAATTAATATAACAAATGGCTTTGCTGTTCTTGAGCAGAAGATTTTTAAAGATTTTTTTCTTATATATTCCCTTGTTAAAAATTTGATCCCCCATTGTGGACCCTCCCTACCCCCCTACCCCCCCCCTCCCCCATCATTTGAACAAACTTGAATCTACACTACCTGAGGATGCTTCCATATCAATATGACTGAACATGGCTTTTCTGTTGTTGAAAAGATTTTTTCCTATATATTCCTATGTAAAACTTTGATCCCACATTGTGGGCCCACCCTTCCCCTTTGGGTTATGATTTGAACAAACTTGAATCTATACTACCTGAAGATGTTTCCATATCAATATGACAAAACATGGCTGCTCCAAGAAGATTTTTAAAGTTTTTTTTCCCTATATATTCCTATGTAAAACTATGATCCCCCATTGTGGCCCCACCCTACCCCCAGGGGTCATGATTTGAACAAACCTGAATCTACACTACCTGAGGATGCTTCCATATCAATATGACAAAATATTGCTTTGCTGTTCCTGAGAAGAAGATTTTTAAAGTTTTTTTCCCTATATATTCCTATGTAAAACTATGATCCCCCATTGTGGCCCCACCCTACCCCCCAGGGGTCATGATTTGAACAAACTTGAATCTACACTACCTGAGGATACTTCCATATCAATATGACAAAACATGACTTTGCTGTTCTTGAGAAGAAAATTTTTCAAGTTTTTTCCTATATATTCCTATGTAAAACTTTGATCTCCCACTGAGGCCCCACCCTAACCCTTGGGGTCATGATTCGAACAAAGTTAAATCTAAACTATCTGAGAGTGCCTCCATACAAAAATGACTTAACAAGGCTTTGCTGTTCTTGAGAAGAAAATTTTTCAAGTTTTTTTTTCTGTATATTCCTATGTAAATCTTTGAGGGCCCATTGTAGTCCCAGCCTACCCCCAAGGGTCATATTTGATACAAACTTGAATCTGTATTACCTGAGGATGATTCCATATCAATATGACTAATTGTGGCTTTGTTGTTCTTGAGAAGAAGATTTTTAAAGATTTTTTTCTATATATTCCTATGTAAAACTTTGATTCCCCATTGTGGCCCCACCCTTCCCCCGGGTCATGATTTGAACAAACTTGAATCTGCACTACCTGAGGATGATTCCATATCAATATGACTAATTGTGGCTCTGTTGTTTTTGAGAAGAAGATTTTTAAAGATTTATTCCTATATATTCCTATGTAAAACTTTGATTCCCCATTGTGGCCCAACCCTACCCCAGGGGGTCATGATTTGAACAAACTTGAATCTACACTATGTAATGAAGGTCTCACATAAGTTTCAATTTTTACAGCCCAGTGGTTCTTGAGAAGAAGATTTTTAAAAGATACCACTAAATTTTCACTAATTCTTAATTATCTCCCCTTGAAAGAGGGTGTGGCCCTTCATTTGAACAAACTTGAATCCCCTTTACCCAAGGATGCTTTGTGGCAAGTTTGGTTGAAATTGGCCCAGTGGTTCTTGAGAAGAAGTTGAAAATGTGAAAAGTTTACAGACGGACAGACAGACAGACGGACGACGGACAAAAAGTGATCAGAAAAGCTCACTTGAGCCTTCGGCTCAGGTGAGCTAAAAATCCAACTGTGTTTTGTAATGGGAATTCTTTGGTACTGTTTGTCGAACAAATACTGTTATTTCTTTCATTAAAGTTGAATCCATGTACCATTTTAATCAATCTTGCAATATTTCTTTTGTTGTATTTTTGTTTTAAAAAATGTTTGCAAAAGTGAGGAGATGACATTAATTTATTTGTTTATTCAATCATAATTAGTCATACTCTCATACTGAAAATAAAGTACATATAAAGAAAAAGAAATCAAAATTCATGCAATTGAATTTTTCTTTATTCATGCAATTGAGAAAGAATTGAAATAGAATACTGAATTGTTCTTTGAAAATAAAAAAAAATAACACTCACTGTATTGGTCAATCTTGCTAACATAGGGACAACACCATGATCTGTAATGACTGCTAAGTTTTCTTCATCTTTGGCAATGTTTGCTATAGCTGCACACACACTGGCTAGAACTTCTCGATGTTCTGATTTCAACAGACTTACAATCAGTTCTAAACCACCCACAAAAGATCGCACCATCTCTCCAGCATCCTATTCAAATCAAAATACAAGCCTGTGAGCTTTAGTGTCTACCGAGATAGGACTATATAAGGTACCAAAATAACACTCATAGAAAAATTAGGATCAGTTGAACTGTGGATTGCAATTGTTATATTTTAAAGTTATTGCAGATTCTTACAGACCAGGACAATAAAGCTTAATGTGAACGTCATAAAGTAATTCATATTCCCACCCTGAAAATTGGAATTAAAGTTACAAAGTACCTGCATGGTTACTTTAATGGATCCCTATAAAAAATTATATATGCATGTAAACTGCATGGGTATTGCACCCAGGCATTGAAAGCTCTCACTGCTATACATACCTTTGCATTTTCAATACATGGACATATAGCCCACGCAGCACTGGCTTGTACATCTGGGTTCTGATTTTTGAGCAGGGACCAAAGCAATCTGACACCATCTAATTTGTCAATGATCCTATTTAAAAATGAAATGTTCCAGAGATGATGCTTAAGATTTTACATAGTTGTCAAAATTTCCAACCATTTTGCCTATAAGAACTTCAACAACATTTTGTGATTGGCAAAATGCAAGAGAGAAAATATTTTGCTTAAACTATGAGAGATCAAGAAAAATAAATTACTTCTACTATGTAACATATTTGTACATACACCATGTACATGTACTCACTATGGAAATTGAAAAATCATGTAACAGAAAGGGAGAATATATTTATATAGAGTACATACGCCATGTTATCTTGTTCTTCTGCACACTGTCCAACAGCTCTGGTGACATTAACAAGAAGGGCCTGATTTGTACCAGTCAGTAAATTGACCAATGGGGGTATTCCACCAGCTTTCCTGATCAATAGTCTGTTTGGAGGATCCTTAGCAAGTTCTCCAAGACCTCCAACCACATTTACCAGAACCTATAAAAATATTCAAGAAATTAAAACAGTGAGTGGTAGTCTTCAAAAATTTCTGCAAATACCCACATTGACACCTTTCAAACAAAAAAATGAATCTGCAAAAAATCTAGACAGGAGAAGCAAGTAAAGGAATAAAAATAATCTGCTCCAATTTTTTGTGGTTTACATGAATGGAAATATTCTTTCCAAGGGCAAAAATTTAACTCACTTCCTCTGGCTGATCATTAAGAAGTCCAACAAGTTGCTCTATTGCCCTCAACTCCTGAAAACGTGTGACATTTTCTGGACTGATGGCACATTTCCAAATGGCTCCAGTGGCTGCCTCCAGGAGTTCCTTGTTGTCTGTCTTCTGCAGCAGTGACACTAGAGGATCCAGACCACCATACTGCCTCACCAGATCACGGGTCTCCTTCTCTTCTGCACACTGTTAATATGAAGCATTGTTAAGTTCACAGAAACAATATCATTGCAAAATGGAAATTTTATCACCTTGTTTATTTTCATTTCTGAGAAAACTTAACTATATTTTGTGCTCCATCCATATACCTTATGATGAAATTCTTACCTTGAATATTGCTGATGCACAATGCATTTGTAGCTCATCTGTTTGACTCTTTAAGTTCTTCACCAGATCCTCAATCATTCCTTCTGTTCTGATGGCTAATCTGTAACTGGGCTATATAGTTCAAAAATATAAATCGTCATAATTACATCAATAAATACAAGCCTCATTTTAAAGTATCATAAAGTAGCACATACTTTTTTACTTTTATCCTCATCAACATTCAACAAACAGTTTAAACCCATACCTCTGAGGCACATTCCTGGAGAGTTCCCACAACTGGAATGAGCATATTTTCATTAGGAGATTTTAAAAGTTTGGCCAGAAGGGGAATTGCTCCAGCTTTTCTCATGGCTTCCTTGTTTTTCTTGCTCTTGCTGCAGCTCCACAGAGCGAGAGCACCACTTCTGGCCACCTCAGCATCCTTATCTGCTTCAGGATTTGTGGCTGAAACTATTGGGCAGTCAAGGAGACCAACCTGCAAAATATTTTCAGTAATAAAGATAAATGAAATTTTGAAGATTTATTTTTAGATTTATTATCATAATTTAAAAGAAATGGATTTTCAATTTTCACCAAACAAAATTTTTCTTTATCACAACACAAATTTACTTTTTGTAAGTTTACAGTTTTTCTCTCCTCCCTCCCCCCCCCCCCCCCAAAAAAAAAAAAAGAACTGTAGACTTACCAGTTTTCTGATGCCTCCATGTTGCCTCACAGTTCTTCTGGCTCTTCTGAATTTGGCAACATTAGCAATAGTTTCTGCGGCCAGGCACTTCAGATCCTTGTCGGGGTCACGCAGGATCTTCACCATGGTTTGTAGTCCCCCAAGGTCAGCAATGGCACGTCGGATCTGAGTATTTCTTGAGATTTCTTTCAAGATTTTAAGTGATCCAATCTGAAAGTGAAGAGCAACATTTTCAAAATAAGCTTTATTTGATTATTTCATGATACATCCATACATTTACTTCTTACAACTGAATATTTTTTTTTTAAATATGATTTCACTAATACTGGTTTGGACTTCATGCAAATAGAACTTTACTTTTCTAGGTAATCTTTGGTATTATTAGAATAATAACAGAAAGAATACCTTGCATTTAACTTCCTCTGTGTCCAGTAAATTGATTAGGACTTCCAGGCCCCCTACATCTCTGATAGCAAGTTGACAAGTCTCTTGAGCTAAATTAAAGTCTCTCATTGAACACAGAGCAATGATGGTTGCAGTTTGGTTTCCACCCTAGAAAAAGAATATGGAGTGTATTCATATTAGGTTTAAATGACAAAATCAATGTTAAATATTTACTGTAGATCATCAAATTTTTCAACCCCTTATTTATGGAGATAGGCATTTTGTATTTAAAAGCAAAGCAAAATTTTCATAAATACTGGTTATTGTTGTATATATTATCTATACTAATAAAAGTACATGTATATGCGAAAATGAAATTTTGCAAGCAGACCGTCTCTCATAATTAAGCGGAAAAAAGTTCTTGTGAATAAAAAAAAATTTAAAGTATAATTAATGCATACTTTAAAGCATAAGACTGATCATAATAGAATGAAATATTTCTGTTTTCAGAAATTGTTAACAATAGCATTATCCCATCTACAGAAATTTTGGACTATATGATTAAATTACTGTGAAATAATTAGTGTTCGTGGGGGTTTAACACTCGTTGTTTTTTAGTATGAAGAGACCCATAAATTCATGTCCACCGTGAAATGTAAAAGTTCATATATACATGTATAACTACTCAACATGTTTCAACATGTCTTTAACCAGGAAATTAAATTCCCATGAACCAACATTTTTTCCTCAAACCACCAGGATTTGATTCGATCCGAAAAATACGTGATTCTACAGAAGTCAGAATAAAATCTTGGTCCTTCCTGGGTTTCAGAAACTTAACAACCAAAACAAAAATTTATCCCGAAGACCCTTTATAGTCTAGCATGCTAGTTTGGGGAAAATGAAAACAAAATTCTCCATATTGAGAAAATAATGTCATCAAGATTGTGTACCTTGAGGTACTTGACGAGTTTCTGAATCTGCCAATACTCTGAAGGAAGATCAGCATTAGTCTCACTCCTTCTCTCTACTGCTTCCTCCTCCTCTTCACTCTCAGTTGAGCTCTCACTAAAAGTGTCATCAGCATCAATAGGGGTCTTGGTCTTCATCCTGTCAATATCAAAAATATCTCAACTGAGATATATCTCAACCACAATGGGTTCATGTCAACAGATTTGGATCTTCCTTTGAGGCATGAGCTATAAAATTGTTCACCCCTTAAACTGGTTGATTATGACATTTTTAGGAAATAGCATACCTAGGCGAAGCCTTCTTCTTTTTCAACTTCTTCTGTTCTGCACGGGTATCTCTGATAAGAAAAAAAGCAGCAGTTGATCATTAAATATTTCTACATGTACATGTGCAAATATTTGCATGTTCATATCAATGAAGCTTTAAAAATACTATCAGAATAAACATTTAATTCATCAATCTACATTTGTACAATGTAGTTGTAATTCACTGAAACTTAAGATGAAAAAGATGGAGACAAACTTTATTGAAAGATTTAAAACAAAAAGAATAAAGATGGATTTATAAAAGGAATGTAAGGGATAGTGATAAAATTTTTGGGATTCCAACTTACGGTTCTTGGTACTCCTCCATTCCAAGAGCCTTCCATTTGAGTGAAGGTTCCAGTCTCTTCTTCTTCTGTGTCTTCTGCTTCTGGCCCTTGTCTTTGGAGTCTTCTTCTGTCTTCTGCTTGGCTCTCTCTGGACGGTAACCAGCAGTGCTCTCTTTATCTTCATCATCCTCTTCAACTTTCCTGGCATCCATGTAATCATCTTTTTCTTGAACTTTGAGGTGAAATTCCTAAATATTAAGAAACATGTCAATTTTTTTTTTCACTTTCATTACCCTAGCTAAGAAGACTTACTTAAAAAAAAAAACAATGATAGAGCAACATACTTTCAATGTACTTTTCTCTTCCTTCTTTGACAAATTGAAATTTCGTAAATTTATCAACAACTTTTCATTAAAATTCATAGAGCTAGAAATTACATGCATATGAATCAAATCACCTAGCAGTGAACTTATCAATATAACTTCTGTTTAGTTTCTCTCTCTCTCTCTCTCTCTCTTTCTCTCCCCAGAATTGGATTCTCACCTGCTTGTCAATCATTTCTGCAAAGTGAGCACTTTTATCTTTGAGGAGGGTGACCAACTCTCTGTAAGCATCTCCTTCCCTCTCATAATTCATGTCTCCACGATTATCAGGGCCCTTTATTAAAGAAACCAACATCCTTAAACTTTTCATTGGTACTTGCATTTTGTCACAGTGATATTAAAAACCCCAATGTAAATGAAATCTGCAAAGTCTGATATCTTTTTTACAGCATATCACTCCCTCAAAGTTGCATACTAAGTACAGTTGAAAAAAAAAACCTTCTCCTTTAAATATATACTGGTATCTGACTTGGAAAATCTACCCAAACTAAACAGATGTTAGGCTTTGTTAATTATTTATTTCTAATTAGGTGCCTTTATGTATATGATTTATTTTGGAAGCTAAAGTGATTTTTTATGTTTATACTAATCATAGCCATGACAGCTCAAGGTCAACATAGTCATTGCAGTTATTTATTATTAAGCTGCAGTCTTTGTTGGGGATTACAGGAATCAATATTTCATGAAATTATCCTTAAGGTATCTTGAACAATTAATTTTTATGATACACTGCCTCTTGACATAATATCTCTCAAGGTAGCGAATATTAAACAGTTTAATTAGAAGTATAACCAACACATATAAATACTGAAGGAAAAAATTTAAAAAAAAAAAAATTTTACTATCCATTTAGGGGGAAGAAAAAAGAAACTATATCAATTGAAACATTGGAGTCATATACTTTAAAAAGTAAAAAGGATATATATATACAGGAAATATGTAATCATGTGTGTGTTGCTGCATCACCTAGCTTTGCATGGTAAGTACATGCATGTTCATTGTAAGCCAAATGTTCAAGCTGATGTTCATGGTTACCGGTATATTACCATTTGATAATTCAATCTCTATATCAACTTTACAGAAGATTTACATAATACATAAAATTGATGTGGGAGTAATCACTGAAAAGATTAGACACATGATAAAAACTTATTTATTATGAACTTAGTAATTAGCATTTTTATACCAGAATTTAATTGTTAAGCCAAAAAAAAAAAGTCTGAGAAGAAAAAAAAGACAAAATTTTATGAGGGGTAACTCTATTATAAAATTAGCTCTTAAATTTGATAATTTTTGATTAGAGTTATTGCTCTTTACCTTGTTCACATAGTAACCACTTGTATTGGCTGTGATGTATAACATATTGCCATCAAATGGCCGAACTTCTATGTAAGCAATGTCTCCATGCAACTGACGCTGAGGGGGAGCTCGGCAACCATTTTTAAACACATAGCCATCACCTAATGGATTATGCAAAATGAAAACATTTTTATGAAATGTATTAAAAAAGAAGTCAACATAATCAACCTAGAGAACTCCTTACTGGTTGAAAGATTTGAATTTAGGGCTAAGGAAACTTGATTTAAAATTAAGATCTAAAAGTGATCATTAAAAGATAATTAATTTCACTTAACATTCAAAGCTTTACTTTTATAATTTTTTCAGTTAATTGCATCAAATCACTTGTAACAAAAATGGAAATTTGAATAATTTTTGCCATTTTGACTGAATAGCAAAATTCCTATTGCAAGAAAAATCTTTAATTTATAGTATTGTAAGTTAAAGTTTTTGTTTCATTCAAATGGTGAATTTTTTAAGTTGTGAAAAAAAGTGAAAATTTTCTCCTAGTATAAAAAGGTTTTAAAAAAAATCTATGAGCTGTTTCCTTAAATCCTAAACACTCTCTAATTCCATATTTAAATAAATGAGTTGTTTTTCTTTACTCATTACATGTATTTATCACTTCTGTGTCTTGTTGAAGAACATGATAAGTTGTGTTTCCTATCCAACCTATGTGATCATCCAGAAGTCAGTCAGTTGTGCTGTCATTACTGTACAAGTCACTGTTTTACATACCCTAAGTCAGTGAATTTTGATTGTTATTCCATGTAAGTAACGGTCTTACCCAAGAAATAAGAGAGTTGTGTTGATATACCAAGTAAGTCACTGTCTTACCCCAGAAGTCAATGTGTTGTAATACAGTAAAAGTCACTTTCTTTCATACAGCTAGCTAAGTTATTGAGTTGTGTTGATATATACAGATAAATCACTGTCTTCCCTCAGTAGTTTGTGAGATGTGTTGATACACCTGGTAAGTCACTGTGAGTGTCTTATCCAAGCAGTTAGTAAGTTGTGTTGATATACCATATAAGTCACTGTCTTATCCCAGAAGTTTGTGAGTTGTGTTGGTATACCATATGAGTCACTGTCTTACCCCAGAAGTTTGTGAGTTGTGTTGATATACCATATAAGTCACTGTCTAAATACCCCAGAAGTTTGTGAGTTGTGTTGATATACCATATAAGTCACTGTCTTACCCAGAAGTTTGTGAGTTGTGTTGATATACCATATAAGTCACTGTCTTACCCCAGTAGTTAGTGAGTTGTGTTGTTATTCAGTATAAGTAACTGTCTTACCCCAGAAGTCAATGAGTTCTAGAACATGCTTCCTTTCATCTTCTCCAGACAACTCCTGCAGAATGGAGACCTCCCCATCCACCATAACAGGGGTAAGTCGGACATCTCTGAAGTAAAAATGATATGAAGGTCATTCAAAAAGTTCTGTCCTTGGAGCAAAAAATGATAAGGAAATGAAATTAATTGGGTTTCCTTATTTTATTCCATCAGGGCAACTAACTTTCATTTTTAAACACTAATATACTTTTTCAGAATTAAAATCCAATCCTGAAATGCTTTTCTGCACTCTTCCTTAGACACACCCTTCATAAACTGCTATAGTGAATCCAAGTGATACTACTTATAGTTGAAGAGTCATCAAGACAATTTTTTTTTTAATTTTGGGGAACAAAAAAGTAACTGGCCAAAAGATTTGGAGATTAAGCAGGTTGAAGAATGAGAATAGTCCCCTCTTTACAGAGAAAATCAGTTACTAATTTTGATTAATTTTGGTATGGTCTTGAGCAACAAGAGAAGGCCCTTATACATGTAACAGTTTTTGGACATCTGATTTTGTATTTCTTTTTAAGTTTCTGTGAAACATTGCATTTATGTATCTTTCCAGTTAAGCTCTTGTTCTCTAGAATATAAAATATGCAACACAACATCCTCCCTATTAAAAGAAAATAGATCACAGAATATTCTGTGTTCTGACAGCATATGGCAAGAATAGGACACTTTCAATTTTTGTCATCCATACTTTATAATTAAATTTTCTTCTCTGTGAAAAGAAAATGTACCCATATGTTTCATCTCCCATTACAATATATGAAAATATAAAATGAAAAATAGATAACTATGTTTTTGTATTTTCATATACTGTAGTTTAATCATTGTTTCCACACATGAAACATTAGCTTCCTGCTTCTCATCTGGCATGGCTGTAGGAACTGGGAAGGGGAGGGGCACAGGGGGCTGTGCCCCCCCCCAATAATTTTGCCGATATATAGTTTACTTCAGAAAACATAGATACTATATCCTTGTGCCCCCTCAATAAAAATGTCTGATGACCTTTTTTTTTTTAATTTTATTTGCTTGTCAAGGAATTTTTGGTAGTTGATAGTGCCCCCTCAACTGAAAATGTAAAGCTGTGCCCCCCCCCCCCCCCCCCAGAAATTGCTTCCTACGGGCCTGTTTGGTAAATAATATCAATCTACCTGTAACCAAAGTCTATTGAAAGAATTTCATTAACTGCTTCCATTGATATCCCTACCATAAAAGTTAACTTTTTGATGGTGTATCTTTTCAATCAAATCCTTTCTTTTCAGTGAATTTTTGGTAATCATGCTAACATTTTTGGTGTCCCAAATTGTGCATCATCTTGAACCATTTCTATACTGTCTTTGAATCTTTTCAACCACCCAAAAATTGGTGCTTTATATGACGAATCTTGGTCTCAATAACATTTAACTGATTTTTTAACGTTAAATTAGCACATACTTAGTAGATTTATATTTAGGCTGTAGTATTTACAAAAAATTTCTTTTCTCTGATAAAACAGCAGAGTATCACATGTAAGGGTACGTATTTTCAAAACTTTATAAATCTTCAAAAACTCATTTCTTTTTTTACAATGATGAAGTGGTAGACAAAGAATTTATTTTATTGTTACAGCTACAGTGTTTGAAGTGATTTACATTGAATATTTAATACAGGACTGGAAAAAATACAACTTTCTGAATGTCTCTCAAAATAGTGATTTTTTTTTAAAAATATTTATTAATCCAAGAAATCTACATGATTTTTCACAAATCTGAATTTAACTTCTAGTTTAAAGCTATATATCCATTAAAATGTTGTGGGATTGTCCTTTCATTACATTCAATCAATAAGAAAGTGATTTTTATTAGTTTATAAATAAAACAGCAATTGAACTTTCAGAAAAATGAACAATATATGTGTTTCATTGAAAATTTTACTTTAATCTTGTAAAAAGCTTACTTGAATTTAAATACTATTTGAGCTAATTAATTGAATGGAAGATATTATACAGTGTTATAATGACCTGCTCTGGTATGGAATTTTCAAAGTTTAAAAAACATAGGAAACATTTCATTCTGTTGATAATCACATCTAAATTATTTAAGCTTTAGGTAGGGGTAAAGGATAGATTTTCTGAATGCCTGGTGCCCAATCCTACTAAAATATTGAATAAAATACTGTTTCAATTTACACTCAGAATTGCTTTCACAAACATCCCTTCTCAAACTACTATGGAATCATCATTGTTTGTGGTGGACCAATGTTCGTGGGTCACCCTTACCCATGAATTTACATCCCCACAAACATTTATTTTTTAATAAATTGATTCACTGAATATACCGTATAAATGAGCAATAATCCACAAAATTATGTCCCCACGAACAAGTAAAATTTTGCTTGCCCACGAACATTGCCCACAAATTAAAATGATTCCACAGTAACTATGGCTTTATACTGATAGCTCAAATTTCATCATTAATTGGATCTTGCAAGTAAATGCATATATCTCCTAATTCCCATACATGATTCGATCATCAATATTACAAAGTTTAAAAGAACAGACAACATAGCCTAGATGTATTCAAAGACAGCACTTATGTTTTTAGGTTGTCTAAACAAAATATCACATCAATATGCAGTTTACATGACTATATCATGTAGACCTGCATGTAGTCCCAAGCTTTGACATGAAATGTGTAACACAACCTATTTAACTTACAAAAACAACAGCAACAAAAAAACAGTTTGCCTAAGCAAATTAACACCTTAGTGACGTCAAAACTAAATTCAAACGATTTAAATTAAATACGTAAAACTGGATGTAAGGAGCAATTTACACCAAGATGTATATTAAAATAATTATATGTTCTCTAATTAAGTCACTGTCTTATCAGGTATTTTCTTACTTTACTAGAGTGCATATTAGAGTGGATGACTTCTTTCAATTCCTGATACTTGCAATTTATATACCATAAATAAATACTGATCTTTGTTAGGTTAATACTATATATATTTATTGACTGGGTTACATGGCAATTAACATGCATTTTTGTTGGACTTGAGAACAGACATTTGTCTGAGGTTATTCAAGGCAGAATTAAAGCAAAACTTTGTTCAAATGCTCAGCAAAACACATTCTGCCTGATAACCTGGTTAAATAAATTTTCGTTATACCTTTTACTTAAATTTATTATTCCATAAATGTCAAACACCAATGAAATCAGAATGCAAATTAGATAAAATTTGTTGACTCGTGTTGGATAATATCGCCTAAGCTTATAGAGTTAATGAATGCAAATTAAGTGTGATGTAACAAACATCATTGCAGTCCGACATCTCACTGACCAGTCAAACATCTTATTATTTTTCTTGGACTGCTCAGTAAAAACACATTGGAAATCTTATCACTATCAAATGCCTTACTTCACCTGATAAGGTCATTTTGAAATTTTTTACAGGTCTAAGAGTAAGCTTTCATTAGTACATGTAATAGTCCAGTCATTTTTTGCTGTACAGGGCAACTATTATTTTTGGTATTGTTGAAATAATGACAATTCAAATTCAAATTAAATCATCAAAGTTATTGAATAATTTATTCTCAAATACCTCTCTTCATTGATGTAGCAGAAATGGGAATTTAATAATTAATTGGCATATATGTATGTAATGAGGAAAATTGTTAATTTCTTACAATTTAAATTATTAAAAATTTGTGTTGATTTTTCACTAAAAAAGAAAAAAATGAATGCAATTCACATTAGAAAATATCTGCATGTATGTAAATTTTCCTTTACATTTGCAAGTAAGTGAATTTTCTTCTTTAAAGAAAACTTACAAAATGGCAAAATTAAAAAAAATATTTTTGAAACAAAGTTTTGAACAATGAACACTGATAATTAACATCATACTTTAAAAATTCTTAATTTGCATTTTGTACAATAGTTAGAACTAACAAGTTGCTTCCCTTTATACAAGTACCAATATTTTATTGAGTTATTTTCACAGCATTGAAAAATTTATCGTTGAACGATAGTCAGAATTAATATAAAAGGGGATGTAGGAGGAATATTATTGATATAGATATTATTGTTGAATCCAAATAATTTATTTTTTGAAAATATAAAACTTAAAACCTCTTACTTTGTTATTTGTGCAATGCTCTGATTCAAAAGTTGCTGATCAAGTCTTAAAAGGATCAGTCTCATTTTTAAGATGAGTTTCTTTTCCTCTATTTCCTCTTGTTTTTCTGTGTTTCCCTCATTTTCAGCATGCTGTTTGGCTAGCTGTTCAATTTCCTTTGTGATTTCTTCAATGAATCTGAAAATGGAGTTGTCATCTCCTTCCACAGTTGCAAAGCGTTCACCGAGCATGTTGGCCACAGGATCACGGTTTGCTGTACAGATAAACATACAGAGATATGTTGATTATTAAAGGTCATTTTTTCAAAAGCTCATGAGAGTGTATAAATTCTCACACAGGTATATTTCACGATGTAATCTATATCTTCATGAATTTTTCAGATATGAAATACATTTCTTTTATTTATTATATATATACATTTTCATGATTTACTTTTTATTGAAATAAATATAAATTTTGTCTGTTGAGGTTTTATTGCCTCAAGTGAGCATAAATGTATTGTATTTTTGAAAATTTGTGTTTCTAAGGAGAGTGGTTAAATTTTGATTTTTTTTTTTTACTCTTTTAGTGTGATTGTTGTACCTGTGTGACAATTAACAAAAAATTATGCATATTCCTGCTCATCTGAGGAGGCCGGCTCATGAGCAGAACTTTCAAATTTTTACTAAAGAATCTTAAAAAGAAAACTGTACTAACATAAATATTAAAGTTTGAATTCATTTCATTTAAGGGCTCTACAAGTTACCATCCAATTTTTGCAACTAAATTTGACAGAGAGACAACCACAGCAAAAACAATGTCACCTTGCCTGTTGTAAACATATCGTGTAGAGAATAAAAAAAAAAAAATTATAAAAAAAAAAAAAGAAGACTACATTCTTACCCCAAAAGCATACAATGCATATCAAAATTAAATTGCACTGTACATATTTAATTTTGATTTCATGTTACTATAAAAATTTTAAAAGTTGTTTTTGTTGTGACCACAAATTGTTTGAAAGTGTATTTGTATAAAAATATACAGAAACTACAATGTATGTGAACACATGGAACATATTAAAATGAATTAATTTGTTATTTTTAAGTCTGTATATAAACTCAAAAAGTTTTCCACAATATTTTTTTTTCTATACTTATTTCTTTATGGTTTTTTTCCCATTTATAATTTTTTTTTCATCATCATGCATGGAAATTTTTCTGCAAGTCATCTAAAGTTTATGAAATTGGACAGATTAAAGTCCTTAAAAATTCATTGAATTGTTTCATTTCAGACTTGATGTGTTGGAATCTGTATGGAAATGAGATTCAAGAGGGAGGTGACAAGATTTGCTTGTTTTATGGTGTGGTAAACTCTTGAATACATTATCACAATTCTTCAGCCATGATATGAACAGATTCTGTATGGAAATGACTTCAATTCCATGTCAATTCCATGTCATTGGGTTTAATGGATATATTGAGAAGAAAAAGTCGTACAAGAGCCGTCTGAAGGTCCCCTAAAGACCCAAAACAGAATGCTAAATGGGCCAGATGTGATAGTATATCATTTGTGGAAATGAGAAAAATTGCAGGATTTTCATGAATATGTACGTATATGAAGTCAGAGTCTTACCACAAAATCAAATGTAGTGAATAATAGATACATAAATGAATGATAAAATATCGTAAGAAGAAAACAGGGAAACCTTAAATAACCTTAAAAGCAGTGAATAATTTTTAGTCTTACTTAACAGGTGTGCAAATGTATAAGATTAAATATAAACACTGAAATAAACCCATTAAAGTAAAAAGGATTAATTTGTCAGAATTGATTATAGAAGGAGTCTGGCTATTATTTATTTATCAAATGTTTAACTCTCGAAGTGCAGTTTTAAGATGATAAAAAAATAATCATGACAAATAATTAATATGAAGGGGGGAAAATGCAGAAAGAAATGGCAATATATCTTTCTCAGAATTTTATGCTGCACAGGGTGTGGTATTAATACGTCTTTCAAAGAAATTTATATTTATTTTCAGTAATTAACGTACAAGGAAATTAAAAAAATGAGGGATTTTCAAAATTAATGTTTCATGGAATAAAAAAAAATAATTTCTTTATCATTTTATTTTCATCTTGAAAAGAAAAATTATATAAAATAACATAAATGATTTTGTAGAATTTATAAACAAAAAAGTTTCTGAATTTGAATTTATAATCACAAACAAAGCATAGTTAAACACTTACGAATTTTAAATCAATATATGTACCTTCTAAGCAAGCCCTCAGTTCTATCATTTTCTTGTCTCCTGCGGCCCGCAGAACCTGTTCGCAATATTCCATAGTCATGCAACTGCATTCAAAGTCAGAGCCATCTCTCTTCAAGGAAAACAGAGGCACATCTTTGTCTGCTTTTGCCTCGGAGATTTTGTCTCCCCCTCTGAAGAAAAATACATACTTATAAATATCATTATATCATTAGTGTGGTTAGAAATTAAAGAAAGAAAAAATTTCTTGTTTTTTTTAAAGTTTTACCTTGAATTCTTCAAATTATTTTTGTTTGTTTGTTTGTTGTTTTTTTTTAGTTTGATGCACAAATTATTTAAACACAGCTAAATGCAAAGACTGTCAATTTCAAAATATAAATAATAAATGAAAACAGACATATATATCAATAGTCATTTCACTTCTTTTATATTTTAAAAAGAATGGTCTACATACATGTGCCTGCAGATGATCAATTTTAATCAAGACGGTTGAATTAAAAGGGATAGAAAATTGATCTTTATGAAAAATCATATGGAATAATTTTTTTAATTGAAATTTTTATTTGATTTTTTTTTTCAAAATTGCAAGTAAGATCATTGGGATTTTTTTTTCAAACATGAAAGAAATTTCCTTCTAATTCTATATATAGTTCAAATTATATTCTTTATTTTTTAAAGAAAGATTTTTATACATGGAAAAGATTGCAGGAGAATAAAAATGTAATTTGTGTTTTATTGATATCATGTTTTTAAATCATGAAGCCCTTCAAGATATTATTCTATCTGCATAAAGATATGCAGAAAGAGTCATAATTTTCTTTTAAATTTCTGGTAAAAAGATTCAGAGAATAAAGTTATTTTTCAACAATTACTTGTATGATTAAGTAACTTAAGCTAAAATGTTAAAGTTAATTATGTAAATTTGCATGCCTATATTCATATACGATGTGTAAGACTGGGGGAATTCATTCTGCCATAGATTGACCTATCAATCAAATTTCCATAATTAATAAATACATTTCTAGGTGATATTCATTTGATGTATGAACTGTATAACAAAAATCTAACTTTACTCTCATACCTTGAAATAATTTTCATGATAATGAACATGTTACAGTTTTGTGGTGCATTTAATCCTTAATAAATGTTGCATGAATGAATTAAAATCTTTTTAAAATCTACATATATAAATGTGTAAATTAGTTTCATTAAAGTATTAAATTTAAAATTTACTCATTTAATAATATAATGGCAACAGAATTTGATTCAGTTGGGGTGAAGATATTCTGCATTGCATAGATAGAATGTTTCTTGGTTAAAATTAGATACATTTATAGGTTTGTGTTCTGATGAAATATGGCATGGTGCAGGCCACCTCTCAGCTTCACTTCAGTTATAGACTGTAGCGAACAGTATATAGAGAACTTATATTGCCTCGCTAGTGAGCTAGCTTTTCTAGTGATGCAACAGAGTCTCCCTCTGTCTCAGGCAAGTTATGCAATGGCCAGTCTGTATAACCCTTGGATGGGTGACCGCTTCACGTTACAAGACAATTTCAAGAATAAAAGCAATGAATGACTCTGGTACATATACATACTGGATATATAATGTATAGATATACAATGTACATTAGACAGTTTTTGCTTAGATGATGTATGTAATATTAAAGTCACACAATTAAAACAAACACACCTGTCCTCCAAGCCAGGTAAATTGATTGCATCAGGACTGACTATGGTCTGCCAGGTTAATGGTTTTTTGAAAACCAGCTTGGTCTCTTCTGGATATTTGGCACTGAAGCCATCTACAAACTGAATAATGGAGTTGAGCAGTTCTTCATTAAGTTTTGTGAACTCTAGTTTACCCCCAGAACCTCCTTTGGCTGAGGTCCACTGTGCTGCTCTAATCAGAGCTTGACCCATGATGAGTTGGTGGATCCACACCTAATCTGAAAAGCAAAATTAATTATATGGATAAGAAAGCTTAGATTTTGTTGTATAATGAAAAATGATCTTTTAATTGGACCATCAACAAATATTAAGCCTTACAATGAATAATGTTGATTTATGTATACTAGTCTACGTGTCACTCTGTAAAATGTTATGATATCATATTTTTTATACAAAATGGATCCAAAGACGGAGAAAATATTTTCCGTATTTATTCCGACTAAATGATAAGAGAGGTAATATTTACAGTCTAGGGTACGATAACAAGTTTATGAAGAGGATCAAGATTTGTTGCATGTCAAAATTTGTTCCAATGAAACTCTTGGATAAAATGACAAAGTTGAAACTCAGGAATACTTATTCTTGTGTATTTAAAAATGATAATGTAAACAATGCTTTGCTGTTAGAGTTTATGGATAATTACTGCGAGTAAATACTAAAACAATATAGCTATATTCTTCCACTCCTCAACAGAAATACGAGTCATTTGGGACTTTGCAACAAACTTGCATGGCGAATATTTTTTAAAGCTATTGCTCTAAAACTCGGGTTCAACATATTGTTGAAAAAATAAATTATTCGAACACAATACTTAGTATACTTACTATCTCGCTTCTTTCTTGGTTATGCTGTGTGGTTGTCAAGGTAAGTGCGCATGCGTCGTCGGAAATACTATTTTTATACACAACAGAACCAAACAAGGAGAAAATATTTTTCCGTATTACTAGTCGCCAAGCCAAACGTAATATGCTATGAAAGAGCCTAACAAACAAAAGCTGCATTACAACATTCAGTTGCTAATTATGATTTTATTCGAGGAAATATAATTTCAGCTGAGTGCATAAGTTGTTTTTGTTGTGTTCTTGCTTTGTTTTGTTTGTTTGTTTGTTTGTTTTTTTTTTTACATTGCAGAACATTTTTCTTTAATTAAGAATAATGAAAATTCTGTGTATTTATGTTTTACTACGATATGGTTAGTTTTTATTTACTGATATATGTTCAAACTGCATGAAGGAATCCTCTAGCCGAATAGCACTTTTTGCTATTTTTTCTGTATCTTATTTAGTGGAAGACTTCTTAGATCCCTCGGGTCCTTTGTCCTTTATCACGAGATTTTTAGTGTTATCAGCTTAACATGTATACATGTAGTTATCTGCGCTACTAAGATATAAAAAGAAGTCGTGTTTATGAAGGCAAGATCCCTTGGAAAGAAGGGGGGATACGACACCTACACTCCATTCCACACCCATAATTTTGTTCTGTGAAAAGATGCAAAATTGTACATCGTAGAAATTATCCGAGAACAAAAATCATCACATTGTAGTACAAATGTAAAGATATATACAAAAAATTTCTTTAAGTAAAACAAATATCCAAAAAATAAAACTGTGTCCAGAATATGAAATAAGATGAATTACTTATTCGACATAAAATGTGTTTTATTCAGACGGAAGTCTAATAATAATAATTTAAAAAAAAGTTTCTTCAGATTACACTGTGTATCGTATAATAATGATCTAGTGACAAAAGGATATCGATTGGGACACTCGCGCTCTAACCCCCCCTAAAATTCTCCACTGATTTTTTTTTTATTAGTAATGGACTCAGTTTTTGTTTTCTTTTTCTTTCCTTTCCATTTTTTAGAGACTTTTCAAGTTGTATTTTTTGACTGAAATTGTTCCTACTCCTTTTCAGAGAGATTCACCACAAGAGAGGATTGGGTGCAATTAATTAATTAACGATCAAAAATATTTTTTAATATGTTTACTTGTACTTTTTGTGTACTTTTTTCTCTTGCAATATATACAATGTACATTCTCGATATTGGATAATAAAATTATATATTATACATATACATGTATATTGAATAATCAGAGAGAATCAAATGCTATCTTTGCAAGTATCAAATAATTTTCTTCCGAAAGCAAGACAACACTGACTACCCTATCAATAATATCTCCTCATTTCGGAGAATCATATTTGATGTGGTTAAACCGAAGACGGAAACAAATTGTCGCCGCCCGCAGACCATTAGAACTCTCTGCCGCGCGTGGTGGCCCATTCATGAGCGTTATGTTTCTAATGTCCGACTGCGCCTGTCGAATTTTCCACACAGATACTGTTCCCAACGTTCATTGTAAGAGGCGTGCGGCGTGTGGTTGAATGAGTCTCTCAGAGGAATTTTCACACATCAGTATTGTCGAGATCAACGATTTAACGCATTACATATAATGGAACAATTCATATCTAATAACCTTAAGTATCGAAAATTAGAGATATTATACCCATGGCTGCATATAAAATGCACATTTGCTTCAGTGTGACATTTTCCGAACAATTAGAATTAATTATCGTAATGAAACCCGATGTGCCATATTATATGTAGAAGTGAGTGTTCTGATCGTGTAATGGTTTATTTAGATGATAACAGACGGGGCTGCTTATTTGATGACGGTCATTAGCTTTAGAAGATTAACCGAGAACGACAAATTACCCCCTGTCATTGCTTGCGATCCCTAACAAATTTCGACCGTCTGAAATTTGGGGGATTTTTAGAATTTACTTGTAAAATTCGCTTTTTAAAGAAAGAATTGTATAGAAAACTTATGAAATTAACATTTTCTTCTCAAAAGAAAACACTAGTTTCAAACATTAATACAGCTTATTTTTTTTAATAAAGAATAGAGTAGCGGTAAGGGAGTGATAAAAAGCAACCACACATTCATATTGCAAATAACTGCCTTAATTAAACGCCAAAAGTAGAATGTCACAAAAAGGATTTTTTTTTATTGATATTTGCGACAAAGAAAAAATATAATATTTTTCTTAATACTACTCCAGAAAAGAAAATCCTGACACTCCAATTTCTTTTGTAAGTTAATAAATAATGTGATAATTTATTTGGAAAGAAAACGCAAGAAAGTCAATTTATAAATCAAAGTTTACTGATTATATAAAAAAAAAAACATTGCATAGGATTGCGCAGCTGTTCCGAATATAAAGGTCAAAGATATCTATATAGCGATAATATCATCATATAAAAGGAACAAAAGAAAAGATACGTAAAAAAATGATAGCATCATTCAATACTGTTGATTAATGTCTTTAAAGTCATTTTGAAGAAAGAGAGAAAAAATATATCCTATAATTTTAAAGGATATATAATATTCGATACACATGCAGTGATATTAATATTTCAAAAACAAAATTTTAAATTTAATGGTCAGTTTAAAACTATTGACATTCACAGCATTTTGAATTGCAGTAAATCGCTCATTTTCGTGGATACTTTCTTTCGCGATCGAACTATTCAAAATATTCATACACTCGGTGATTTTCTCTCTCTCTCTATAGCTTTCACATTTCACCGCGAATTTCAAAAGAGTAAATTGCAACGCGAAGAGCAAGCTGATTTAAACAAAGTATGCAGGGGTGGATCTACAATGCCAAGTAAGATGGGGGGCCGGGGGAGGGTTCAGTTAAAGAAATACACTGACAAACACAAAAGAAAAGTTCTCAATAAACACCGATTTTGGCTACATTATTTAAAAAAAAAATCAAAGTATTGCAGAAACTGAAAAGCGGTTAACATGCTTCCTGAGATTAACAGCGAAATTCTTTGTCTGAAATGTTGATATTAAGTACACCCCGGTAAAATTAAGGAGAAGTAAGCAGTGCATTTGGAATCCACTGGGACACCTAGGCCATCTAGTTTTTTATTCAAATAATAAAACAGCTACCATGATCAGCATTAATTCTTTGCTGTGCAGTAGATCATGAATTTGATCCGTGTATGTATTCAAACGATAGAACAAATTTTACATTTCTTTTCTTCAACCAACTTTGCCGAAAATTGCAGATATATTGAAAATCAACTTTTTTTTTATACTCTGAAATTCATAATTTAACCCATATCTCAAAATTTACATAATTGACCCCAACTGTTTATTTCATTTTTATTTTTTGAAATAACACAATACTTCTTATCAGCCAGCGCTAAATTTACGAAAAGCTTGATATGAGGAAATATATTGGATGTTTAGATTTATAATACCCAAATTATGACAGTAGTGCAAAAAGACCACATAATAATTTAAATGCGTTAATTTGCATCCCCCCAAATATACTTTGTTTCAACTATTTTATATCAAATAAGATTGTATTTATTGCTATGATTAAACCTGCTAAAATATGATTGTGGATAAAGTGGTGATGAATATAAACGTTATCATTTAAGTGCAAAAAGGTAAAGTTTATCGAGCTGTTGTTCCGTAATATGCATATTGACTCCCAATTTTCTTTCCAATTTTGAGATATGCTGTATGAATAGATATCTAAATTATACTTCTCAAAACATCCTTGATATAACAGTGTCAGGAGTGACATACCTCAAAATGTTTTCATTGTCAATTTTATGCAGTTTGTAACACACCGCATTTCTCTTGCTTTAACATATTGGAAAACATATATCACCTCGAAGAATAATGCACTGACAAATTAACTTATTGTTACTATATTATGATTCAGCCATATAAGGCTACATTATCTTATGATAAAATGTGAAAAATTTTGGCTTTAAATTTACACGTATTGATACGTAATACACAATACACTACCAATAATGTTTTTGTTATCATTATGCCTTCTTAAGCACATGTACATATAAATACATTTCCCTTCATTGTATTGACATGTCTTTTGAGTGATACTGTTGAATTATTGACAAATTTGGTACGTGTCAGAAAGCCCCAGAATATTTAACTCGTCAAAGCGCTACCTATGCTCTATTTACCAAATCGCAAAGCCTACACTGGACATCCGGTTGCGAAAGACTTTTGGTTACATGACAGTAAGCATTTAACGAATACTAACCGCTAATGACATGTACCTTGATAAATCATTTTCGTAATATGTGAACTTTGAAATAAAATTTGAAGTAATTATCACCCAGACATGATAATGAAATGGATGACGAGATCGCAAGTTATACTTCTGAACTCTGAGTTCCGTGTATGTAAGCATGGAATCAACAATAAATTAATAAACTTCTGGTCGCGCATAAATTCTCTACTTTTGTATAAATCAATTAAACTAACTGTTTCTTTATCTAAAGCAAGGTTATGTCAGCTAACGTATAGTTTTAAAATCTTAATTATGTAAAGAACCATTGAAATAAAATAAGATAAAATTAATCATCCAGACGTGAAAATTCTTATTTGTTCAAATAATGGATTCTGCAGTAAACACAAAGTCATTTTAGAGGTTGAAGAAAATAAGACACTCATAAAAAAGTTGTTACAGAAATTTCAAAAACAGTATGTACAGACTTTATTATTGCTAAACACTACGAAGTTTTCCCATCTTTTCCTATTTCTTTATTTTTTCATTCTCCCAAAAATTTATGCATGTACTTTCATATTTATACTGAATTTTAATGCAAAAATATGAGAAGTTTGAATCCCCCATAATGTCCCAATAGATTTTCTGGATATTTATGTATTGCATGTATTTTGATTGATTTACATTGTTGTGTGATTACATTATAGTGTGTTCACATTAAAAAATTCCACTTTGTATGATGCTTCAAGTATTTTTTTCAATATACATGTATACACTCTTATACACTGAATTAGGACTGTCTTTTTGGAAGGGGGAAAAACCCTTCGTGATAA